TGCGCGCACTTCTGTTTAGGGAGCGGTTGATTCGACGCTGCGGCTAAACGACCGCGCGGGTAAAAAACCTCTCGTGCGCGCGTAGCCAAAATGTAAATATATTTTAAATTTTGGGGTTTGAAAATCGATCTAATTTAACAAAAAACATTTAATATCTACTAATAGTGATATATTGTGGCTGCGTTCGCGGGTACGAAGTGTCAGTATTGAAGAACATATTTTAGTACCGGCCATCAAGAATGAGCGGACGGCGGATAGACATATTGGTCTTCTGGTACTGGTTTTGGACTTCGGGTTGGAACTTTGGTTAGAGATGGGTTTCGTGGACAAAACGAACGATGATGGCTGGTGAATGATACGCACAATATGATTTTACCGTAAACGTAATGTTGCAATTCAAACTGACGTAGCAGACTTTATCAAGACATGGCGCTTGGTATTGACATGGTATGCGTTTGTAAGGACATTGTGTGGTGGATAACATGTGCGTTTGGATTGTATTCGACACTATTTTTTTTCATATGACACAACACTGATGGAGGCTATAATGTTAGCCGAACCGTTTTTTTTTAAACCAAATAAAAAATAATAATAAATGAAAAAAAAAATTGTGATTAAAAGAAAGAAAAATCAAGTAGAAATATTAGAATCAAGGTTCAAGAATATCAAATTTTCAAGATTGTAAATTCTGGATTAATTATTTTATGTGTACCCAGTTATTTAGGAATGTCGTAGGTACCATAATTTTCAAACCAACTAGACGCCGATTTTTTCGATGATACGGTATAATTCTTACGTAAAATGTAAATAACATTAGACCAATTAAAACAAAATATGAATTTCTTAGTATTTTTAGTAGCACCTTTATTCTTAAAACTTAATTTTGTATTATACAAATATACCAATTTTATTGTTATTTTATTCATGTATTCAGCCATCAGCAAATGTTATATTAATTTGGTAGTATAAATAATCAATACTATTCATTAAAATTACTACAGACAAATATATGTTATGCTTAACATACATTATATATTATCAAACAAAACACATTCTTCTTTTAAACTGTATCAGTCTTGTCTTTACAAAATCTTTTTTAAAATTTGAACTCTAAATAATAATCTTTTCATGATCTCTATACACATATTCTTTATTTTTTCCACAAGGTCATAATACCTACTTATGTGTTTGAATCTATCGAAGCTGAACCAACAACACTTGGAGTGGAGTTTCCACAATATGAATAAAATAAACATAATTGTCAGTTTTCATTAATACCATCATGGGAGAATATTATTTTTAAATTTATTAAAGATATTTTCAGTAAAATTCTCTTGATTTATAACTGGTACCCACTTTTCTTGCTCTTCCGGACACTTTGGGCTGCCTAGTATAATAACTATCCTTAGTAACTATCCTTTCCACCAGGAACACAACAAAGATGAGGCATAGCACCAAAAACACTCCACTTAAGCTTTATTGATGAATTGTATTGGGTCTTAAAAACACACACAAAATCTGATAGAAATTAAAAATGTATGGGCACTTTTAGGTTAAATCACTTACACAACGTGTAATTTTAAAATTTCTATTTTTTATGCGAAAATAAAAACCGAGAGTGACCCTATATCTAATAGTAGTTTATGTCACTTCAACACCAAAATAATTAGTTTTGTGCACTTTCACAATAATAAATATGCAAAAATAAAGGGGTTAAAACCAAAAATCAACCGACAAAATATGAAACGGAATCTAACCCAATATCTAAGTATGTACAGCTGATGAAGTAAACAAAAGTCCGCCCGTAGGCTGATCTTTTAATAGAAGGCACTGGATTAACAATAAAGATCGAACCATAGACTTAAAATAAAATATAGACTAAGCATCTCATTCATAAATAGCTGGAACATGCGGTCAGACACTGTCTTGTTATTGTTGTGTTATTGTTTTAGGTTATAACGAGTGCGACACGAGCGATAGATAGGTTATCTCTGTCGTAACGGTCGTTCCCTGACGACCCTGCCGAGAAACACAACACTGTCTTTCGTTTCTCAAGTACACCTGAACTCTCCGTATCATAGCCGGGTAATTTTTTTTATTTTAATGGAAGCTATAATTAAATTAAAATATATCGTATTTAAACTTTTTGTATTTTATTTAAAGATTTAGGACAGGTTTTTAAATAAAAGTTTAGAAAAAAACGTCAGGAATGCTTGCACACTATACCTGCACGGACCGGCACGGACCAGACCAGTAAAATCTACCGGTGAAGGTGACCGTGTTATTTAATAGAGTAGAGCACACTAGACCAGTACCAGTACGTACCGCCACAAGCCACGACCGTCAAAACAGGTCGTGTCGGTCAGAGACAAATATGACCGGCAATATTTATGCCTGGTCTTGCTGGTCCGACCTAATGTGCGCACCGGCGAACCAGCGCACCTCCACAAACATGCAAATATTGAAGGGTGTGTCAGTATTTCGATTACGCTAGCTGGCTCAAGTCGCATGATGTAGGTTAGATTTCGTTTTATTTTTGTTGGAACCTTTAAATCGTTTTAAATATGAATGAAGAAAACTTATTTTACTGGTACAAAAGTATCTAGAGCTGTGCGATACGAGTCAAGCATTTTATATATAGAGACCAAGATAGAAAAGATGCAATATGGGAGTCGATAGCAAAAAAAAAATAATCAAATTTGATTTCTGACATTCGAAAATATTGGAAAACTTTTCTTCGAATCTTTTTAATTCAGGAAACAAATGGTTGACTTGAAATACCAAGTGTGTGATACCAAATTATTCGTAAGAAATGCTTTTTCCAAATATTCTAATGAGCCAAAATTGTTCCGTTTGAAAAAATTGAGATATGATTAAAAATACGATTTGGGCATCTTTTAACCGGCCAGGGCAAGACACTAAAAACCGAGGGGTAAACCGCAGAGGGAAAAGTGTACACCGTAATTCCTTTTACTCAAATAATTCCTCAGAATTCCTCGTAATTCCTTCGGAATTCTTTGGAATTCCTTGGTCTTCAAGGTCAAGGTCAATCATTCAAGGTCTTCCTTGGAATTCCTTGGTACGAACTCGGTAACTCTTTCAGTCTTAACCAGCGTTGCCACCTCCGTTTCGCAGTTCCGCAATGAATTTTCTCAGATTTTTATATGTCCACATTCTATACTAGATCTAAAAAATAAAAGTACTATTACAAGATTTACGTTTTTAGTTAAATTTTAGGACTAATAGGGAATCATGAGGTGAAAATACTAGAAATATGTCGGCACTTACTTATTAAAATTAATTTTTCTCGGATTTTTTGAAAAATTATAGGTCCTAGTTATATCTATAGGAAAGGAAATTAATAAAACTTCAGTTGAACGTCATAATACGATCACCAGTAAATTCCACAAGATTACGCATTGTGTCATTGATGAAGTGCACCTAAAGTTGTATTAATTTTCCTATTGTATATACCTCGGTATTATTCCGAGGAAATGAAAAAACAACTTTACACTTTCTGAGTATTGAATAAAAAAATCTTATGAGCGTTTCTTTAAAATGGCGAAATCAAGGAACGTTATAAGTAGATCTCTCGGGGGTGGTTCGGCCGTACTATTGGAATATATTTTAGATATATAATCGAGGGTACAATATTAAATTAAAAGAATATCTAACCTGTAGATATTTGATGTTGGGAAATTTTGGAAGCGATTCTAAAACGAAAAACGGATAGTAAAAATCGCCTGCAAAACGTTTTTCGTTAAATTTGGTCCTACCTATTATAGTATTCATGGTCTACTTATGTTCGTTAATTTTGTATAAAGTTGCTTGTAATTCCTCTTAATTCCTGTGGAATTCCTCTAAATTCCTAAGGAATTCCTTGGTGTATTCATCGGAATTCTTCCGGAAATCATTGGAATTCCTAGTAATTCCTTGGAATTCCTGTAGAATTCCTTCATAGTGTACACCATAATTCCTCTGCGGTTTACCCCTCGCTAAAAACATTAGATGATCAAATCTATTTTCCCTATGCGCCTTGGTGAAAAATTAGTGTTAGCCTTGTGTTAGTTAAGTTACTTTATTCGATAGAAAATGACACTCTGAATAGAATGACATACTATATGTCATTAGATAACTAATAACTGATATAACTATACAGGGTGAGCCTTAAATAAGTGCCAATATTTTTAGGGCTGGTAGATCTGAATAAAAGAAAAAAGAAACATATTTTCTCTTTACCGTTTCTCAAATAAATCCAAAATAACCGAGTTATTTTACTTTGAAAATTTCCAAAAAAATTATTTTTTGCTAAAATTTTGAGAATCAATGAATCTTTTCTGAATTTTCTTTCTTGTAAATTTTATCTACTACCTGTGTTGCTATACTCGTATTATCAACAAATTATGTTTTTAACTAAAAACTAAAAAAAAATCCAAATTTTTTTCAAAAAATTCCAAATTTTCAAATTTTTTTTTCGTGAAAAAAAACCTCATAATCATGTTTCTGGTGTCGAAATTACTACCCCAAAAAATATTTGCATTTATTTCAGACTCACCCTGTATTTGATTAGATAACATTTTATAACAAAGATGTTGAATAGGTGCTTTCATAGACACTACTAAAATAAATTACTTGCTTTTAGATGAGATCTTACAACTTTTTCTAGTGGAAAAACTGCGAGGCTTGGCATTTTTTTACTTAAAAACATAAAAATCGTGGTATAGTAAGGGCACGAAAAAAATATTAAATTTATTTATTATACTTTTTTAGTGGTTATTCTTCATGCATAATTTGTATGTAGAAAATAAAAGTGCTTAAAAAAATTGTCAACCAGTGGCGTTGCATATAATGTAGGCAAAAAGGCGTTAGTAGTTATGAGTATGTTAATGACCTACGGCTTAGCTTTAACCAATTTAACTATTTGTCATTGTCTCGGTTGTCCAAAATTGTCATTGTTTCGTTTAATTCGTATAAATTTTAATAAACTATTTTTGTTACAGGGCTTTGTCAACCATTCAACGTAGTCTAGTCAATGCAAACCCGGCATCTACGTTGCTAGTCAGTAAGGAACAATCCAGAGATTTTATGGCACTATTTCCAGATATAGTCCGGGAACTGACAGATGCCGGCAGACAGCAAGAATTGCCAGAAGTCATGCGCAGATTTGCTAGGGTGAGTTACAGGGCCGGTGGAAGGGCCGGGCGACCCGGGCAGCTGGCAGCTGCCCGGGGCGCCGGATCCGAGGGGCGCCACGACAGCAACTAAAATATTTAAAAAGAGTAATCTAAACAAATAGTAACTAATAACCAGATCAATAATTAATCGGTACTATCAATTTCCAGATTAAAATATTAGCAATTACCACACAACATAGGGAAGCATATCTGACTAAACATTATAAACACTACTACGTACATATATCCTAGACGTATCCTTCAGTTTACTGAAATTATGCTCAAAAAATCTTTAGAACGAAAGTTTTGGGATAGTTTTGATTTCTTCTAATCTGTATGTTTTTTTCGGTGCTCTATTCGAAACTGGGATTCGCGAATTCATTTTCGTGGAAGAATTTTAAATAAAATAAAATAAAAAAATATAAATCTGATTTGTTCGTGGAATTTTACTTATAACACAAAAGCTAACAACTTTTTGTAAATAACCCTTCTTTCTATAATTCTCGTTTTTATAAATTTCTAAATAAATTGTTTTGGGTCAAGAGCCAGCAATATTCACAGTTTTAGACTGATCGCTCAAAATCGAACTTTTTCTACGACCCGCACCCTTTATTTGTTATTAATGGCTGATATGCCCTAAAATTATATGAGGCAAATATTTATTAGCAAGAAGCTGAAGAGGATCCCGATATATTATCAAAAAAAATTATATATTTGTCTCATTAATTAAATTAACTTATTAAGAGTACCTAGTGGGAAGAGATATCAATCTTTTGGTGATTTGGATTGTTCCGGATTGACTATGTAGTAATACACGGAAAATGGTAGCAGAATAGTAAATTTTTCTCATTAGAGGAATCACACAAAGAAATGCATCTCAAACACTGGCTGATCCTCATTTTGAAGCCGACAAAACTGTCTGAGCATATACTGATTCTGCACGAAATAATTATTGATTGTGAAAAAGAAAGGAAAATTTTCTTAAATTCTTATAGAAAAATAATTATTCAATTGCTTGGGTGAGTGTTATTCTAGTGTTTTCAAAGATCACTTATACCAGAACGAGACTGCTGAAGTTGGAATTATATTTCTTATAGCTCTATATACCGGGTGCGTCTCAAAAGTGGCTCACCCCTATGACTTGTTTATTTTTTCAGATAGAAAACGAGATTTGGTATGTTAATACGACATAAATTAAGATTAATTGACGTATGTCTAATTGTTTTGGGCACTTCCTGTTTCACCAGAAATTTCTATAACAGTTGATTTTTAAATGGCACCCTCAGTGTATTTATATTTTATGCGATAGAAAATGACACTCTGAATAGAATGACATATCATATGTCAACTTTTGACATTTTTGCATATGGTTTATTTAAAATTGTAACATGCGGTTCATAACGGCGAACAATTTGTAACAATTTGACTAGAAATATCAAAGTGTGTGGTATCAAATTATTCGTAAAAAATGCGTTTTCTAAATATGCATGAGCCATCCTTGTTCCGTTTGAAAAAATTGAGATATGATTGATTAAAAATACCATTTGAACATCTTTTAACCGGCCAGGACAAGACACAAAGTAGCATAAATATGCTTAGGTGTAGTTAAAGTATAGTATTGAAGAAAATAGAGAGTTATTAAAACTATTAGGGAGGGGGGGGGGCCAGATAGGGTACTCGCCCGGTCTCAATATTTCCCTTCCACCGGCCCTGGTGAGTTATTATTACCACGGATTATACAGATTATAATCTTTGTTTTTTCTTTATTGTTTTTCGTGGTTCCAATTTTTGGAATCGGTCACTAGTTAGCACTAGGAGCACTCCCACTTATGGCCTCTAAAATTGTGCACAGCGCCTGACCGGCACAGTTATTAGAGATATATCGCAAAACCGAATAGCTTCATGCAGTATTTACGCGTACCTTATCATGGTTACGATATGCGCGAGTCAATTTTTAACGCAACGCCCGCTAATAACGTTACCGCCTGACGTAATTTGCGGATCAATTACACCAAGCGCTATTTCTAAATATCGTTTAAAAATTGCTTAAATGGGCATGTGCAGGTATTTGACAACCGGGGCCGGCCGGCGAGATCTTTTATTTTAGGTTATGTTTGAATTGTTTTGAATTATTACTTTAGTTTTATTAATTAATTAAATAAATATGGCCCAAAATATGGATTCCACCTCTTCCAATATTAAAGAACCTATAAAGAGGCTTAGGTTTACAGCAGATGACGACTTAGCCCTTCTAAGAGAAATTGTTGCTTGTTGCTCTAAACCCACTGGCAGGCGTTGAGCAATAAAGCACTGGAAATAAGCACTTTAGCCCTTTAGTTTTAAAATACCTAGTAAAGAAAACAATTTCAAAGTTTTAAATTCAAAGTCAGGGGTAGTTTAAATAGCGGACGCGACACGAACAGAATTCTTTCCGATCCGATAACTATAAATGAAGAGAGTTATTGTAAATACCACCTCACGTAAAGGAAATAACACCTGGCCTTATTAACGTCCATGCACGCTATTCTGTTTAGCAATATCTCTCTATTACGCTGTTTATTGTTATTGTACGCGAGTTTATTTTTGCGCACAGGAAATTTTACTCGTTTGCACATCGTCATAAAAAAACAATTTTCGTACCACGAATTAGGGATAAGATTGTTATCTGTATATATATATAGTATACTTAATCTGTGCTATTACTATACAAATCAACTTTAGGGAAGGTTGCCAGATTGTCACAATGAAAAAGCTGGACAGTGTTACTAAGGAAATATTACGACTGTTGACCCACAACATACAGGGTGTCCCATTTTAGTGTGTTTTATGGAGTTTCTCGTTTATGAGTAGCGATACAAAGAGGCTGATTTCACATCTCTTCATATTTTATTATAACGTCATATTTTAAGAAAGACAGCTTCCAGCGAAAAACTAGTTACGCTGCTGAATTCTACGTGAAAAACTCTATGGGACTCAGTTTTCACCTTTTCGGTAAATTACAAGATAACCAAGATACGAGGAAAGTCGAAAAATGCAACAATTTCAAATTTGCCGTGTATTTCAGGAACTAACATCTGCGTCTATCATTTTTAGTTTCATAAAAAGTAACATAGTGATGTGAAAACCGCATCTTTGTATTTCTATTCACAAACGAGAAACCCTGTAAAACAAAAGAAAGTGGGACGACCTGTACAGCCTGTACAGCCTGTACACCCTGTATAGGTAAATATTTTATTTTAAAAATCATATTTTTTTATTATTTTAGGTATTACAATACACAGTCCCTTCTGGCAAAAAAAATCGAGCTCTGCTAACAGCCATGGCCTACAATATGCTGGAGGATTCTGATAAACTAACTACAGAAAATGTTAGATTAGCTCATATTTTAGGATGGTGCACTGAAATTGTAAGTCTTTATAATTCTTTTAATTAATATCTTAAAATTTACTATCAGTGTTTATTTGAAACTTATTTTTTAAAGATTTTTTATGTAATAATTATATATGATAATAATAGCTCCCGTATATAGCGTTTAACGCCTTGGGAGTAGCAAGGTACAGCTTGCCATACTACGAGCCCTAACAACTATATGTTGGGACAAGGTCATATTATGGAATTATTGCCCTGGTTTTTCAAAATGACTGAAAAATATATGTTTAATTTTTTAAATATAAACATAGCCATATATCCTAAATAACTTGACAATATTTTTATGAATTTGTAAATCAATCCATATTTACAGTAGCGGATTTTGTTCATAAAAGGACAAATTTGCTGACAACTAAATGTTGGGACAAGTATTTTTAAATCAAACGTCACAAATGCCGCAAACTGTTTACTTCAGCATTGACATCTTGTAAGTGACTCGATACTTTGAGTAGTGAGATTTACTGTAAGAAATTTTAATTTTTTTAATTTTCAATTTTGTTAATTTTATCCAAAGTAATGGTCCGTGGAAAGCTACAAATCAAAAACTACGCGAAATTATCAATCGTCAATACAGTACAGGAAAAACAATTCGAAAATTTCTGATGATTTAAGTATTCAAAAAAAACACGGTCTTTAATATAATAAAAAAAATACGGCGAATCTGCCAACATAGACGTTAGAGATAAAAGTTCGGGAAGGCCAAAAGTTGTATCTCAGAGATTTACGAAATTTAGAAAAATTTGCAAGTCTGCGAGAAGAAGTACTCTTCGCGAAGTAACAGTTAAATGGAATACTGTAACTGGTTTAAATATATCAAGAGAATGTTGCCGAAAATATATCCACAAATGCGGTCTGGGGTTTTACAGGGTAAACTTTATTTTGTGTGGATAATCAATTACCTGAAGATTATTGATCATATCATATCACAACATCGGTATACAAGGAAGGTAATGTGGCTAGTTATAAAAATACAGTTATAAAAATACAGTTATAAAAATACAGTTACAAAAAATACTATTTTTACCTCAGAATTGTGAATCCCAAGTACTAATTTAAGGCTGAGTCGACCTAGGTACCCAAACTATTTTTATTTTAATAAAAATAGTCGGCTGATGAAAGGCCGGGTGTGGGATTCGAACCCACTACCTTGAGATTGATAGACGAGAGCCTATACCTCTACGCCACCGCGCACCTCTATAATTATATATAATAGTTCTAAAAGCCCAAAAGGCTCATGGCTTGATTGTTTATCTTTCTCCATTTGTTTCTGTCTTTTGCCTTTATTCTCCACCCCTCCACTCTTATCTTTCTCCAGTCCTCTTCAGCATTTTTTTTCCATCTGATTCTCGGTCTTCCCCTTCTTCTCTTTCCACCTATTTCACGTTTCATTATCATACTAGGAACTCTTGCTACAGCCATTCTTTCAATGTGTCCCAGCCATCTCAGTCTTTGTGCTCTTGCTACTCCCGTTATAATCGGTGCCCGATATAGTTGTTTTAATTCTTCTAATTTGTTCTTGTTGTCCCATATATTGTCTATCTTTTTTCCTCCAAAAATCTTCCTCAATATTTTTCTTTCCCAAATCTCTAGCCTCAAACTTTCCGTTGCATTGAACGTCCAGTTTCACATGCATACAGCACTATTGGTCGTATCATTGTTTGGTACATCCTAATTTTATACTTCTAGAGATGTTTTTACTCTTAATAATTTTCTGTAGTGCGCTAACACATCTATTATAGTCTATAAAATGAATAACTTTGAATTTTGACCGTTATTTTTTACCAACATGGCAAATATAAAATCCCTCTGTCAAAAAAGTTACTGATATTCTTTAAATTGAGTGCCTGAACTAGCCTGAACGAATCAGATAGGTAACTCTTTTCACTTTCGTGAAATAGAAAAGGAAAATAATAAAACAAGTGACAATTCTTCCTCTTCTTGCAAAAATCAACACGAAATGTCATAATTGACAAAAGTAAAATGTCATCAGCTTTTGACATTTCTAAATATATATTAGACCAATGCCGTCTCTATTAGAACATCCACGGAGCGAGATTTATGACGTCACGCTAGTTAGATAATACGGATTAATAAATATGTTGGAGAATACATGGAAACATAATTATTCCTCGTATTTTCGGTTTGTATTTTAAAAATGATATAGTTTACATGAAATATACATAATATACAGTTAATAAATACAATATAATATATACCTATTTATTGTAATAAATACTTTGGCTAATAAACATGAACCATACAAATGCAGCAAATGTTTTACAATATACAAATAATGAATAGGTGGTACATAAGATAATGGGTAAAATGTAAAATATATTTTAAATTTTGGGGTTCGAAAATCGATCTAATTTAACAAAAAAAACATTCAGATATCTACTAATAGTGATGTATTATTATTTGCATTCACAAAATTTATATGTATATTTTGCAAGTATCAATGTTCGAAAAATTATATTTGCAAATAATAAAATATCATAGAAAAAAAGGCGTACTAATAGTGATGTATTATTATTTGCATTCACAAAATTTATTTATATATTATAATGTTTACTGCAATTAATAAACTAATATAAACTTGTCAAAAGTTGACCACATATTTTTTTAAATTATTATTCTTAACACAAAAACTATCTACATTGACTATGGAGTACGATTTCAGTCATATTGTAAAACATTTGCTGCATTTGTATGGTTCATACTTTATCTGCCAAAGTATTTATTAATATAAATAGGTATATATATTGTATTTATTAACTGTATATTATATATATTTCATGTAAACTATATCATTTTTAAAATACAAACCAACAAAGCGAGGAATAATTATGTTTTCCATGTATTCTACAACATAGTTATTAATTTGTAGTATCTAACTAGTGTGACGTCATAAATCTCGTTGCTAGGCTGTTCTATTAGAGACGGCATTGCGTCAGCATGGCCGCAAGTTGCTAACCTAATAAAATTAACACTAGAAAAGCCCGCGGGAACTGTCAAATTCAAAGTTATTCGTTTTACAGACTATACCTACCACAATTTCCTGAGTTACATTTGGTTTCCTTAGAAATACGGTTCCTAGATATGTGAATGTATCTACTTCCTCAAACTTGTATCATTTCCTTCTCTCAGAATCTATTTGTAGACATCTTCCCTTCTCAAATCCCTATCTGACCACTTCATAAACTTCGTTTTCTTCTCATTAAACACTAAGCCTACTTTTGCGTTTTGACCTTCTAGTCTTTTGGTCACCGATGTAAGAATTGCCTCCAATTAAAATCTGTCAATCTGTACCAATCTTGTAGCAAGATCAAGAGTCTAGCAGCTAGTTCAAGAGCGAGATCAAGACTGGACCCTGTAAGACCAAGACCAAAATTTCATTACCATTAGACTCCAAAAACAGGACTTGGCTGTTTATCATGGTCCCATCTGAGGTTTGGTCTTCTTCTAGGTCTCTTAATTTCTTGTGGGTGCAATGTTGTAATTTTTGTGGTCCATCTGTTGTCCGTCCTTCTTGCCAGGTGTCATTGCCACTTGAGGAATTTGACTCTGTGAATGACATCTTATACCTGGGTCTTTTGTCGTATCCACTCTATTCTTTTTTGGTCTTTCTTGGTTATTCCCAGCATATTTAATCCATTCAGCGTTGTGCGACCTGCAGTTTCCTTATAATGTCCGTTCTAAGTGTCCGGGTTTCGCATGCATAGTCATGACTGGTAGTACACATTGATCAAATGTTTTCTTCTTTAGATAAAGTGGCCTTTTAGATTTGATTATGATTAAGTTTCTTTCATAAGCACTTCATGCTAACTTAATTCTTCTGTTGAGTTCTGGTAGTAAAGATCCCAAACTGTGTATTAGTTGTCCCAAATATACCTATATTCTTCTACTATTTCCGGTGTTGTTATATATTAGAATGTTTTTTTCTGTTTACTAGTTCATACTTTAGTTTTTAATTAGAATACGATATAATCAGAAGCTTATATTAATTCAGTAAGAAATAAATAATACAATGGCATATCTATCTATCTATTCAGCCTCTTCGGTCCATCGTTGGATATAGGCCTCCCCCACTCTTCCCTCTCTGTCGCCGTGCTCATCCATTTTGTGCCTGCATGTTTCCTCAGATCGTCCGCTCATCTCATCTGGGGTCTTCCTCTACTTCTTCTATTCTCCCAGGGCCTCCAGTTTACGATGCATTTGTTCCATCGATCATCCTTCTGTCTGACATTCTGACCGGCAAACTTCCATTTCAATTTTGCTACTTCACTTCTAAACTTTAGTTTTTCCTCTGATCCACTCATTCCTTTTTCTATCTGCCAGCCTTATATGTAGCATTGGTCTTTCCATAGATCTTTGAGATTTTGTTACCTTATCCATATTTGATTTTGTCAGTGTCCAGGTCTGGGATCCGTAAGTAAGTACAGGAAGTACACATTGATTATATACTTTGGTTTTGAGGTACTGTGGAAATCTTTTGTTTTTTAATATGTAACTTAATTTTCCAAATGCTGCCCAGGCCAGTCTTAGTCGTCTCTTTATTTCAGCTGTTTGGTTGTCAGTTTTTTTGTCTTTTTTCAGTTTAATCATTTGTCCCAGATATATACTCTTCAACTTGTTCTATTTTTTCTTGGTTTATTCTTTATGGTTATGATTTTAGTTTTAGTGTAGTTCATATTTAGGCCTATTCTTCTAGCTGCTGTTCTTCCAGCATTTCTACCAGTTCTTCTTCCTTTTCTGTTATTAAGGCGATATCATCCGCATATCTTAGGTAATTCAAGTATTGTCCACATATTTTGATACCTTTTTCTTCCCAGTCTAAATTTTTGAAAACGTCTTCTAATGCCTGGTTAAAGAGTTTAGGGGATATTGTGTCACCCTGTCTGACACCTCTTCCTATGCGAATTGGCTTTGTTCCTTCGTGGATTTTAATTGTTGTTGTTTTTTCGCTATATATGTTGG